GTTCATTACAAGTGGCCCTTCGAGGGCCACCATAACGCTCATGTGGCCCTCAGTCAAAATGAGTTTGACACCCCTGCAATAAAAGGTGTGTGAAAACAAACAATGAACAAACGTCGACTGTTCGGCTTCGGATGGAGTACGTGTGGGCCGTGGGGCTACGTTCATACTGCTTATCTTATAAACTCACTTCAGTTATTCTGATCAGATCTGACTTTTTCACAGCCGTGAAGTGACCTGCATGCACCGAAGACGACATGACGACAATGGGCTGCTTTTGTATGCAATGTTATTATAGCTGAGATGTGTTTGGGAAGAATCCCAAATTAATTTGTTCAAGTCTAAACAAAACTGTTAATGTGGAAAAAACAGAAGGTACTTTCTCACTTTATTATATGATACACTATGAATACCACACAACAAAAAAGACAAGACTGGAAAAGTCAAAACAGTCATTTAATTACTTTCACTTTTTGATTTGCCTGTGTGGAAATAAGTTATCAGGTAGAATTTGACATACTTTGTCTAGAGTCCTGTTGATTTTACAACCATAAAAAATAAACTCTACAGTACGAGTAAGAACAGACCTGCAGCCCACAGCTGGCTCCCTCCACGATAGCCATACAGAATGCTTCGGTCAGAGATGTGTTCAAGAAGATGTGACCCTGAACCAAAACRTCACGAACGTCTTTATGCTCCAGRGCCCCGAGCAGACGGACCCTGCAGAATTAATAGGTTTTAGTCACACCCACAACATTCATCCCAGTGTGGTGACAGAAAAAACTCCTAAGTACTTCCAAACAACTTACTTCTTATTTTTACATTTTTCCAGACAACAGAAAGACAGTAMAAAGAGGTGGTAATGCTCAGSTCAGAAAATATTCCTTAATGGAGTATCTGTCCTTAGAGAGTACTAAGTGTTCTCTCCTTGGATAATGAAAAATATATATAGTATTCATTCAGCCGTACCGGTCATGGAGTTGGTATTTCTCTCTCACTTCTTCCAGCACGAGTCTCTTCGGCCCCTCTCCACCAATTAGGAAATGGAGATCAGGATGTTTGAGGCAAAGCTCTGGGATTATTCCACCAAGAAGATCAATTCCTGACCAGAGGGTGAAAATGCAAACTTTTGTTTTTACAGTTTAATCAATCAATCAAATCAACTTTTATTCCAGACACATAGACGTAAAGTAAAATAAATAAATAATAAAATATGTGCATATATACAGCGGGTAAAATAAGTATTGAACACGTCA